AGCACACCTCGCTTTTTCAGACCGATGAGCTTTGTAAAAATCGACGCGTTTCAGAAGGCGGGGCATAGAGGAGAAACAATAATGTACAGTATGTGGAAAATAATGTGTTTTTTTAACCTTAAACCGCATAAATACATTTCATTACACCAAATACACCAAATAATGTTCTTTTTAGCAACATCATATGACCCCTTTAAGAGGCCGCTTGAGAGCTTTCGACAAACACTCGATGAAACACACCATTTCATCTTGTCGTTGGGGCCTGAGGAGAAGGTCGAGCTCCTTACGACTTCTCCCATCTCCTCCCGACAGAAGCTGAAGTTGTTAATCGTCCACATGTAAGAAAACTTCACAACTTTCACCTGTCGATACAAATAAAAAAAGAGGGATATTTATGACTGGCGTTCTCCACTCAGAACGATTCATTTTCCATTCAGCCAGTCTCTCTCACCTGTGTATAACACCAGCTTTCCGCCACAGGTCCTGATGTCATTTCCCCTGGGGGAGGGGGTGTGGGAACCCGTGACATGGCCTGCTTTCACCCTTCCACGTCCCTGATTTAGCTCACTGCTCGGCCTAAACACAAAACCAAGACAAAACTGTGCAACTATAGTCAAAACAGGTCAGTGAGTCAATATGATTTCCCAATACGAGAACTGGTTACAATCACAAGGCAGCTCTCTCAAACGTCTATAAATAATCACAAGTGAGGTACACTATTAGGTCAAAGTTTATATAGAGTGGTTGCTAACACCAAATGCAGTCAATTATACCTTTAGCCTACAAAGAAACTAGACTTTTGCAATTACTGAAAAAAGAAAAAACACTGCATTTACATTTATTCATTTATTATCAGATGCTTTTATTCTAAATGAATTACAAATGAAGAATACAACATACGATAAGGTCTTCAGGGTGATTTATAGACATAGAAAAGCCACAGAACACCTCTCCTCAAGATTTGAGGTATCAAATCATGTGGCTTATTACATTTCTAATGTTACAGTACTGTAGAAAAGTTTGGGGTCTGTAAGAGTTTTTGTAAATAAGTCTTTATGCTCATTAAGGCTGCATTTATTTGACAGGAAATACCGTAAAACAGTAATATCATGAAAATTATTATTACATCGTAAAATAGAAGTTTTCTATTTTAATACATTTAAAATTGAAATTTATTCCTGTGATGCAAAGCTGAATTTTCAGCATCAGTACTCCAGTCTTCGGAGTCACATGATCCTCTAGAAATCATTCTAATATGCTGATTTGCTGCTCAAGGCACATTTATTATTATTATCAATGTTGAAAACAGTTGTGCTGCTTAAACTTTGTGGAGAGATTGTTTGTAGATTATTTGATGAGTAGAAAATTCAGTAAACATCACTTATTAAAAAATAATAATAATTTGTAACATTATAAAAATCTGTCACTTTTGTGAAGTGAAAGTGTTCATTTCTTTTAATAACAACAACAACAACAAATCTTAGTGACCCTAAACTTTTGAATGATACTGTAGATGCCATAGTTAAGAGAAACAGATGATCAGCACAAACAGAGTAATACAATGAGAATAGATAATGCCAAATAATACCTTGTGTTCAGAGATCAGCAGGTTGTGTTTCCATGTCATCCCTGGGCTCAAGCTCAGAGACACAGCCGTCAGAGTGACTGGAAACAATGACTAACAGTGCATACTGACCTCAGCCTCAAAACAAGCCATCCTAAACACAGACGCACAATTAACCAAACATGCATCCATGTCGTGAAAATCAGCAAAACTCTACAGCATTTACCTTCACTTGGAACACAAAAACACAACAACATATAGTACTTCCAAAATATTCAGAAAAAAAAAAATCAATCGCCAGCACTTTTTTTCACCAGCAGTTTGCAAGAATCGCAGAAAGGAATGCAAACAATATGATAAACTCATAATAATATTATTTCAGCTGTAAATTTGTTTATAGGTAGAAAACTATTTTTCTATGTGAATGATCTGCTAGTTATTAGTCACTTAACTAAAATCTGTGAATGTTGCCATGATGTGATCATGCAAACTGATTTCACTGGGATTAGTTTTCATATTTAGATATTGTGAATGTATGCAGATTATGACCAGCCTTACGTCATCCTGATAACACAAAAAAAAATGGATTCCATTGCAAACCTGATGAGATTATTTATTGATTAATTTACTGTGGTGATCAACCATATGCTACAAATGCAGTCAATTGAGTTTAACTTGTATTGGATGAAACATATTAGTGGGTACATGACAAATCAGAATTCACCAATCTCTACAATCCAGTCATCATTTAACTCGTCTACACGCCACGACTGACCTCATGAAAAAAGCGCACACACTCACCTCAGTAAGAATGCTGAATCTCACTTGTGGGAGTTTTGCGAGCCTTTTAGAGTGGAGAGCTTGGCAGATGAGGGCAGTTCTGTGGGATGCCACTCTCAGCAGAGACTCAATGAACCCTGGCAGGAATAACAGCATTTTAACACCACATCTACACTGGCACAGCATCAGGCTCTGTCCCAACCGCTTTGCAGCCCACACTTCTGACTATAGACATCATAACGCTGATATAGGCATCCAAATGTCGAGTCGGGTGAACAAGATGATCTAGAACTAATTGAAAAAACAAGTCCTGTTTGGGAACGTTCTGTCATCCGAGAATGTAAAGAACACAGCAAAAAGTGCAAAGGACATTATGATGTTTGCTTAATTGATGCAGAGCACAGAAATAGACAAGCCAGTAGTAGAACAGTTAAGGAGACCATCAAATCTAAAACAGCCACAAAATACTTACAACTTTATGAAAAGACCTTTTCAAAAACATTGCAGTGTCCCTATGGTCAAAAAAAAAATATATTGACAGAAACACCGATTACTCAAAGTCACTAAAAATTGGATGAAAGAAATTGTTTTACTATTATTATTATTATTTTATCCACTAACAAGGCTGTTGGTAGAATCTGGAATGGAATAACTTCAAACAAACAGGAAGAACCCCTGTTTCAAGTGGACAAGTCTATTGGCCAAAGCAAATGATCTAAAACAATTAAAAAATATCAACCAATTATCAGCATATAACATTTACATTTAGTCATTTAGCAGACGCTTCCACATTCCACCAGGAGGGAACAGTTAATGAAAAAGTCTGTGAAAGTGATTTTGTGCCTCTTTTGAGATGGCACAATAATACATCGTTCACTTGCAGAACGCAAGCTTCTAGAGGGCACATAACTCTGAAGTAATGAATTTAGGTAAATGGGTGCAGAGCCAGTGGTAGTTTTGTAGGCAAATATTAATGCCTTGAATTTAATGCAAGCAGCTATTGGTAGCCAGTGCAAATTGATGAACAGAGGTGTGACGTGTTCTTTTCGGCTCATTAAAGATTAATCTTGCAGCGGCATATAACCACTGGAACAGTCTCAAAACATCTCAGATGTTCTCTCCATCTACTTAGAATATTGTTATTGTATCAACTGTCCAGACATTGTCAGCGGAAAATTCTCTTTCCCCCCTTTTCCTATTTCAATTTAGGAGCTTTGTTTTTATTTATTTATTTTTCTAGAATTGTGCTGTATAAAATAAACTTTATTTAAAAATGCACATAAAATAATAATTCACATTTGAAAGAGGCGTTCTCGAATTAATGAGTCGCTGAGTTGTCAATCGAGTCTGAAAGATTCGGTTCTCGATTATCAATATGCTCATTACAAGTGAGTTCTTCAGAACCGCTCGAAACGATTCCGTAGTCGCGAACAAATCGTTCATACCGGGTTTGTGAGCCGGATCAATCGATTCACTAATAAGATCCGACTCAAAAGAACCATTCGTTCGCGAATCGGACATCGCTGTAATGCGCTACGAAACCAGCCTCATCCGCCCCAAGTTTCTGTTATGAATCGATAACCGCGTTTCTTACCGCGTTCGAACAAGTTTGCACATACATTTGAGCGCCGAACACTTGTCGCCTTTCCGTTAGACCCGCCTGCAGAGCAATTGATGTGGAAAACCAAAAGAAAAAGAGTCAAGGAAACCAAGTTAGCCAACCAAGGCTCGTCTCGTTTGGCCTAAATTTCATGCACGGCCCAAACAAGAGACAGAACCATAACAAAGCCGAGTCAACTATGTTGATTTACGGCCGAAACAAAGAAAGATCCTTCTACGAAACCCCGCACGTATCTGATTTGTTTGTCCGAAACCAGCACATAATGGTGTAGATCGAGTAAGCGTCTGTCTTTGTGTCAGTGCCCAGAGCGGTGGTTAAAATACAAGATAAAAATAATTTTACAAACCTCTCAGACACTCCGCATCACAGACATAGAAACACGGTACGATATGTGACCTGAGTGAGTCGTAGAAGGAATTTTGTGCGAAACGAGTGAACTTTTTTCAGCCTTTCTCTACAGATAAGGGGTGTTTTTCTCTCTCTTGTCTCTCATAGCGCTGTCTGCGCTTCAGCTCTATGCAGGCGCACAGCGCATGCGCACAGAACTTCCTCTCAAACCATCTGTTCTAACAACAAGCGCAGTTAGTTAGCAGCGTACGCTAAATTCTAAGGGCTAGAAATGCGATTTACCACTACTGATTGAGTAATTATCGTGGTTATTTTAATTAGTTCAGCTTCCATGACTTTGATAAGACATGCGTCTAGTACATTTTATGATGCATTACAAAGTTACTCTAAACTCAGCCACTAGCAGTTCCCATAATGTCAGGGCAATTAATTAAATGACACGAAGACTGATGAAAGATATAATAGACCGAACCAATAATATATTGATAGGTTATTTTATCACATACACTATATAAACATAGGCCTGCTGTGTTTTTAACCACGTGGTCTAAGAATACGTGTCATTTTACAGTATAGAAACTTGACGTTAAAATAAAATAACTTTTTTTTGTCAGATTTGTATGACAAAATATAGTTACTCTTTTAGGGAAGTATAAATGTGACTGGGCATAAGCATAACTATCTAGTTCCCCCTCTCCCACATAACAGACTTAAGTGCCAATAAAATTTTTTTTTTTTTCTACTTCATCATTATAAACTCTTGGCACACTGATAGTATCACGTCTGTATAACTGAATGAGATGATATATATCATCATTTAATATCATGGGAGGAGATAAGAGTATTTTTGCAGGGGCTGTTGTAATGGTAATGATCTCAACAAATCCAGGCTAACACTCAATGAAATATGAAAGGCATCCTTTAAGCCAGGGGAGATATACATGGAAATAATAACAGATGAAAAAAAGTGACTTGCAGATTTGAATGATTAAAAAAAAAACTCTTATTTCTGTTAAAAGATATAAGCTCATCGTCTGTGAATTAAAATCTGTCTCATTTGCTTCATTACCATGACAAAACGAGAAAAGAGAAAAGAGTCTCAATGCCCTGTGACCTACTGCATGGCACTATCAATGTTTGAAAATAAGAGGATTATTAACTAAATGAAAAAGATGAGAGTGGATGAACTATATTTGTGTGGAAAAATATTCTATTATCAAACGTAGTCGAAAGTTTAATAAAAGCCTTTTATAATTCAGTGTCAGTGGTAAAATGTAGATCTGGATTACATGGACAACAGCCCTGCATACAAATCACACACACACACACACACACACATAGATACATACATACATACATACATACAGTGCCGTGAAAAGGTTTTTGCCCCCTTCCTGTTTTTTTAATTTTTTGCATATTTGTCACACTTAAAAGATTCAGATCATCAAACCAATTTTAATATTACGCAAAGATAATGCAAGTAAATACAAAATGCAGTTTTTCAATGATAATTTCATTTATTAAGGGAAAAAAGCTGTCCAAACCTGCCCGGCCCTACGTGAAAAATTATTTGCCCCCCCCTCTTAAATCATGAAAGAACTGTGATTAACCACATCATTTTAGAAAGCTGAGTTAAATTTCACTAGCCACACGCAGGCCTGATTACTGCCAGACCTGTTGAATCAAGAAATCACTTAAATAGAACCTGCCTGACAAAGTGAAGCATGCTTAAAGAGCAACACATCATTATATATATATATATATATATATATATATATCTAAACTAAAACAGGCCTTTTTTTAGAAACACAATTATCTTGGTTTACAATCTTAAAAATAGGGTTGTACATTAATAAGTTTGCAAAAGGATGTTTCGCAGCAGTGCCATAAAATAACCATTATTTGGTTCATCAAAGAACCTTTTTATGAGGCTCTTTGTGGAATGGAAAGGTTCCATGAATGTTAAAAGTTCCTCGTTGAACCATATTAGGTAAATAAGGATCATTTATTTTTAAAACGCAGTACACTGTAAAAATGTTAGTAACCATCTGAACCATAATTAGTTAATTAGGCTAGTTAATTAACTGTGAAAAAATATATTCATTTTTGTATGTAAATTTTCAATTACAAGTAAAGTCAACATGAACTTTAACTGTAACTACACTCTAAATAAAGATACATTATTGGTATTGATGGTTCCTTTTACTTTAACTTTTAACATCCATGAAACCTTTTCATAGCACAAAAAGATTCTTTATACTGGATGAAGATTCTTTAGATTGTTTAAATGTTCTTCACACTAAGAAAAAAAAAGGTTCTTTTAAGAACTGTTCACTGAAAGGTTCTTTGGAGAACCCCAAATATTTCTTACATGGCATCGCAGCGAACCTTTATTTTTACGAGTGTACATGATACCCGAAACTTCCCTCTTTTATTGTGAATTTTTGTCAACCACAGCTGCCAGGTTAGTTTTTTTTTCTCCATCAATTAAAAAATAAGAAGGAGGAAGATACATGAGAGAGAGAGAGAGAAAAAAAGAGAGAGAAACAGCTCTATGATGCATCTCTGTTGAGTTTACCCCTCTGGCTTTCCCAATTATGAGACATAAATTCTCTGTCAGGTCGTGAGGACATGAGACTGACAGGAAAGATGCTTGATCACGTTTTCCAGCATCAGTGTTGTTATTACATCAAGTTTGAAAGTTTTATCATAATTGAGAATTTCACTGTGTTTTTCTTTGCCTTTTTTCCCTGTTAAAAGCACTGATATTCACACACAGGGAAACAGCTGTTGGCCAGTTTCATCAGAATGAAAAGAAATGCTGCATCAAACAGTGCAGTTTCACTTAAGAGTGTGCAGACAGACACGTTTTTCTGACCTGCGTTTCTGGTGCATTGTGCCAAGCATTCTATTGCTATCCACTTAGTGATTTGAACAAATTGATGGGATATAAAACAGGCACAAAAATAAAAAATAAACCAAATTCCAATAGACTGACTCGATTGAAATTTTCACATCCCCATGTGAGGTTGACAGTTAATTAGTGCAACTTAAAAATAATGTAAATTAGATTTTAGACATATTAGCCGTTTCTGGATCAAATGGAGAATACCGACTATAGCCTACTTCTCCAGACTTCTTTTCTTATTGTGAATAAAAGATCATTTTTAATTATGCGCTGCTTCTAACAGATTTATTTATTTTTTGACAAAAAGCAAAATAGTTCACCGTGGGTTTTCTGAGCTGGTTTCGGTTGCAGCACGCTCCTACATAGTACCCCCTGGCAACTAATGTCTTAAGAACTCCAGAGCTCTTACTGCAGTAATCATCTGTCATAATTAACTTCATTGTTTGAGTTCTGATTTCTAATCCGGGAAATAGTAATGAGTTTTAAAACCTTTGGCAACAGAGAAAAGGATGGAGAGAGATACGGGGGAAAGGATAGAGAGAGAGAAAAGTGATTAACACCCAGTCTACAGGAGGGATTCCACAAAGTCAAACTGCACAGATCATTTTTTGAGTGAAACAGTCTTGAGTTTCCAGTTTCCACTGCATAATCACAAAGCCATAAACAGAAATACAACTCTTTTGAGATGTAATGGTGGCATTGTTAAGTAATTTGACTTATCTACATGCAAACATAAAACCACTCAAACTGTTCTGCTTAAAATGCACATTCGGTTAGGTACTTTTATGTACACAACTGGTCGAATGTTTGGCATAATTAAGATTATGTTTTTGAAAGAAGTCTCTGATGCTCACCAGACTGCATTTATTTGATCAAAGTTACAGTAAAAACAGTAATATTGTGAAATATTACAATGTAAAATTACAGTTTTCTATCTTGATATATTTTAAATAGTGATGGCAAACCTGAATTTTCAGCAGCCATTACTTCAGTCTTCAGTGTCACATGATCCTTGCTCAGTTATTATCAGTTACATATTATTGGGGCTCAATTATTAATAATGATTCTTATCGTTATCCATGTTGAAATAAGTTTTTGCTTAATATTTTTGTGATATTTTTTCAGGACAGTTTGATGAATAGAAAAACAGAAATATTTTGTAACAATAGATGCATATAAAATATTATTATTTGTAACATTATAAATGTATGTACTGTCACTTTTGATCAATTTAATGCATATTTGCTGAATAAAACTTTTGATAATAATAAGAAATGTTTCTTGAGTAGCAAATCAGCATATTAGAATGAAGATATACTAATATCTTAGCAAATTAGAAGATTTATGAATCATGTGACACTGAAGACTGGACTGGTGAAACTTCAGCTTTACATCACAGAAATATATATATATATATATATATATATATATAATTATTATTTTAAAATATATTAAAATAGAAAATGGTTATTTAAAATTGTATTAAAATACAGCCTTGTTGAGCAAAATCTTACAAACATTTGACCTGTAATGTATATAGCTGATGGAAGATTGTGTAGGCTATATATGAGATAATGTGGTTTATTTTTGCATTAGGGTTTGTGAAATACATTTCACATGTTAATGCATGTTTGCATGTTCCTGTGTGCATAGGTCAGCAAAAAGTTCCCCAAGCGTTATTAAAAGGAAGCTCTACTTGTGTAAAATTTCATTTTATGTCGGATCACTCATTCAGATGACGACCTGTGCTGCCGGCACCTTTATGTGACCATTGAAAATTTATTGAGGTGAAAAGTACCAGGAATGTGTGCAGTGATATAACATTTTATAAAGGTTGGTTTCATGCTTCACCACTCTTCAGCATATAGGCCTACCAGCTGTGTACACATCCTATTCAGAGAGGGAGAGAGAAAGAGTGTGGAACAGAGAGAGCAGATAGCAGCATTTTGAAGCCTTTCTGCACAGAGATATTACATAGACTTCTGTCAGACTGGCTATTTCAAAAACACATAATTATCAACAAAAGCTTGGGAAGACATTGGTTTAATTAGGAGGAGTGTATTGCCAAACTCCAAATACACACAGCTTGAGAGAGAGAGAGCTGTTAGAAGTTAATCAACATTAGCCTTAATGATAAGGCCTCAGAGAAAATGTGCAGACACACAGCGCGGCACAAAACCACATTGTTTGTCTTGGGTTTCCAAGAAATTATCCTTATTTCACCATAGAAACAGAAGACGAAGAAGAAAAACACATCATCGTCTCTCTGTTCCTCCTTCTTCTCCCACTGCTTGTCAGAAGAAAGGACAGAAAGGAGCGGAGCGCGAGGCGGGCGAATCGGTCAACAGACACGCGATTCCCGCGCTTCCAGCAGCTCGCGGGAATATCAACGGTTTGACAGGCTTCCGACGCGTTACTCTCTTTCATCTCCGCCGTTGACAGC